AAAATGAAAATCATAGTACTCATCAATATTCTCAGAAGGAAAGCAGCTGATTGACTTTAGAAATTTCTCCAGCTTTATATCCTCTCGGTTTTCACCAAAGCTCCCTTTTAAATGGCCCATTAGGCTGAAAAGATCCCACCTTTTTTTTTCCTTTTTTTTTTTAAAACTAAGGCACTTTTAACTTTTTTAAATTTCCATTTTTTAAACCTTCAGATTGGGTATGGCCAATTGTATAAATACAAATGACATTATATATATATATATAGCGGTGTGGTGCTGCACAGAGTTTTTCCTGTTTGGCACGTGTTATCAAAAAATTACTATTAAAATCTGTGTTTGTCTATCAAACTTTGCTATTAGCGGTGACTGTTAGAAAACTACTGTCTAACGTTTTTAAGAGAAAAAAAAATTATAATAATCATCATAATTTTTTGAACAACAGTTTCTTTTTTAATAGATTCACAACTGCTTCTTCAAATAACTGCAGCTGCCCCGAACAGATCCTAAATCTTGAGAATTTAAATAATAATGCTCTCAATTTGTAGTATTATGTCATAATGTTTTTACATTAAATCAAATAGTTGTCATTTATAGTATGCATAAATAAAAAAACTTAATAATTGCTGGCCTTGAGCAATGCATTATTTTTCTAAAAAAAATCTTAATTAATAAAAAATATAATTTGATTACTAATTTATTTTTAGATTATTTATTTGAATAATTTGTTCTCCTCAACTATAACAAACTACATATACTTTATGTACATGAAGTGTACCAAGTGTAATTATATGAAAAGACACATACCAACATGAAAAATGAAAATCATAGTACTCATCAATATTCTCAGAAGGAAAGCAGCTGATTGACTTTAGAAATTTCTCCAGCTTTATATCCTCTCGGTTTTCACCAAAGCTACCTTTTAAATGGCCCATTAGGCTGAAAAGATCCCACCTTTTTTTTCCTTTTTTTTTTTTTTTTTGGTTGGAAAACTAAGGCACTTTTCACTTTTTTAAATTTCCATTTTTTTAACCTTCAGATTGGGTATGGCCAATTGTATAAATACAAATGACATAAGATAGATATCAGGGGCAGCAGACACCTCCTGTCTGGTAGCATCCTCCTCAGGTGGAACTAAAATGTCTACAGCAGTGGGGTTAGATCCCTCTTTATTCACTTGAACCTTAGATTTCAAAATTGGATGAAGCTTGTGGCATTTAGCAAGGATATGACCAAACATCTTACAGTGGGTACAATATGGGAGTTTGTGTTCCATGACAATTTGTTGTTAATAACCATTATGGGTTATGTCCAGTAACATCTAGTAAAGTAATATCCCTTTCCACAAATATTTTGGTCATCGAGGGTCTGGTTAGGTTGAAATTAATATATATATATATATATATGAATTTTTTTCTAACAATTGTCATTGTTTATAAAGCTAATGACATATATATTTCATTTTTTTTATTTTCATTGTATATACTGTAGATTAAAATCCGAATAAATCATCAAAATAATCTTAACTATTTACATGGGATTGTTTTAGTTTGAGAGTTTATAGATGTGTCAAATTAGTGCATAAATTTTTATAATTGAGGTTGAAATAGTCCCCATAAAGAACTATTAAAGTACCATGAAAATACTTGTGGATTATTTTGATACTTAATTACTAATTAAAATACATAAATTTAAAATTAATTAAATGATGAAATTAATCATTGTGATGATTTCCCATTGAGTAAATCAATTTGTTATGATGCATCACCATCTCACCATTAATTATCCCCATATATGTCACATGCATACATCCACATATATTTGAATAATTAATGTAGCATTGAACCAACACCTCTTTCTCTCTCTTCCTCTCCCCGTCTTTATGATATTCAGTCAAAGAAAGAGAGAGATCCAAGCCTGGCTTGCTGAGCAGTGGGTCACATGTGGATAGGGATAGGTCATGTGATATGTACAGTACAAGGCTGGCGAAGATTGGCTTAGAGTATTCAGGCAACTTGTCATATGTGGAATAGAATCTTCCATTATTATTAATGTTAACATTAAATAATTCCTAGCATCTAACTCTTCCTATCCTTGAACTAATACCCAACATGTATTATATATATAGATATATATATATATATATATATGTGTGTGTGTGTGTGTGTGTGTATTTTCTCAAATTTATTTATTTATACTCCTTTCCAAATACACTTTATTACATTATCTCATTGCAAGCACATGTACAAAAAAAAATATTTTACTTTTATTTTTATTTCAACATATAATAATAATAATAATAATAATAATAATAATAATAATAATAATAATAATAATAATAATAATAATAATAATAATAATAATAATAATAATAATAATAATAATAATAATAATAATAATAATAATAATAATAATAATAATAATAATAATAATAATAATAATAATAATAATAATATCAACAACAACAACAACAATAATAATAATAGATGTGTGTGTATGAGAGCACATGCTATTTTCTTTCTTGAGATATATGAGTAATTTGAAGGAACATATTTAGTTGTAAGGTCTTGCTATTTTAGTATCAAATCAAGTTCGTAGGTCGAGTTTAGGTCTGACCCAATGGATCCCTCCTAAAACTGCTTGATCTTGACCCAACTCAATCATTAAATGTGCTAGAATGTTTAACCTGAACACGACTAGCCTTCAACCCGGTAATCGAAATTCGATCCTTATAACCCATTTCACATAAGACATAATAGTTATTCGGGTCTATTTCAAATCAATCCAGAATCAAACTTGTTTATAAACTAGAACCCGTCTCAAAAAAAATAAATCAGCACTCTTCTAAGATGCCTTGAATGCATATGCCACATTTGATGTACTATATTAGTATGGTAGGAAGTCCTAGCCTTATATTATTTATATAAATAAACCTATGATCTGACCTGCATATTTGGGTACCTGTGAAGCATGGAAAACACCAAGCCGACCTCAAGACTAGCCTATATTCAGTATAGCTTTTTTGGTTGATTTGACTACAACAGCTGATACGCAAGGACTGCTACAACTAGGAAAAACATAATAATAATAATAATATATCATTTGAATTTTATTTAATTAATATTTTAATTTTTCCTTAAAATTAATAAAAAAATAGTCCTCTCGGAATCGCAAAATTAAATTTTTATGTGGGGTATATTGCAAAATTATAATGTAGGGAAGAAGTGACGCAGAAACAATTCACAAATCCCAAGCAAGCATCTTCTCTGATGAGCGAAGCTAATGCCCCATCTTTCAAAGAAATATATACTATTTCTTCCTTAGAAGCATTTAATTATGAGGAGTAAATGAGGAATGTTTGTTTTTAGATTTGAATATTTGTTTATATGTGGAAGGAAAAGGCCTTGAACCCCACCAAGAGGGCAAATGACAGAAATGTGCAGTAAAAATAATAATATTGCATAAAAAAGTGCTTTCTAGCAGAGGAAAATAAATTATTCTTTATGTAATTTTTTTATTGTTAGTTCTCTTACAATGCCATGCAAGTCACGGGCTTGCCTTGAAACTGCAAATAGAAATTAAATTTATTCAGAATGGCAGATAATAGAAATATTAATGCATGAAATTTTTGTTATATATATATATTTATAATTAAAAATTAATTTTTTTTTATATTTTCGTTTTTTGTTTATTTAAGAAATTAAATGAAAAATAAAATTTTGGCATTTTAAACATGTATTTCACTGTATTTGATTTTCCTCAATCAAGCCATTCATGCATTTCTAAATTCTAAAATACATGAATTAAGATCTATCACTTAATTTCATCTCTAAAATGCATTTATTTCTGGAAAAATATCAACTAAATCCTTTTTAATTCAACTAAAAACATCCATTAAAAAGATTCTCTAAGCATGCACAGACCTTGCATGTGGTTCATATTCTGCCTGACAATTAAAAAAAAATTAGTTCAGAAATCCAACATTTTTCAAAAAATAATCTAGAAAAATTTAAGTACATGCCACTCAATTCATTTGCATTTACATATACAACACCTAAATTATAATTTTTGCATATATGGTTGTACATATAAAAATGTATGTCAGCACGAATCTCATAGTAGGAGGGCAACACTGGAAGAATATGCAGACGATTAAGCGTAGCCTTTGATAATTGTTCCTGGATGAATGTTGGCGAGGGATGCATCTTGTTCGAACGATCTTCAGAAGGCGTCAGGAGAAACTCCATCGGAGCCTTCAGAACGATCCACGGGTAGCACTCTTTTGGACTAAATATTGATCATATCAAAGATTATTAGGCGATTGACAACCTTCATCAATCAAATCAGCCTTCGGTCTTATTATATGCAAATAATCACAAAAAAAAACTCTTCTGCAAAGTTAATAATGAGAAGCTAAAATGTGCTTTTAAAATTTTGAGACATATTCTTATAAATAGAGGTTAATATTATGAATAAAAGATTGTTTGGGGTAGCTCATTTGGTGCGGTGGCGTTTTGAAAACCCATTTGAATTGTTAGTGTAAATTGAGTTTTGACAGCTTATGCGTTTTCAAAACGTTGAAAATAATATTTTCATATTGCATCTATGTAGATGTGGTGCTAGCTTTCTGGTCTAATTTTTTCAAAAAAATAAAAAATTATAGTAGCCTCAATATGTTGGGCTGCCCTAAGCAGACCCAAACACATACACACTCTCTCTACTACGACTCTCTCTCTCTCTCCTCTAATTATTTCCTAGCAGAACTTTTCATTTCTTGGTGTGTAGCCTCGGTTATTTTATTTATCTGATAGATTATATGCGTAAAGATGCCACCTTTTACTTTCATCTCCCAGGCCAGAACTCTAGAGAGTTACTCACTGTAAAAGTAACTGGTACTGGAAATTTAACACATTGCATCAGTAATAGTACATTTAATGTTTTATTGGTTAAATCTGTAAATATCTATATAAATACAAAGCAGAAAGAGATCAGGGAGAGAGAGAGAGAGAGAGGGAGAGAGAGAGAGAGTACTTTAGAACATCTGAAGAAGAAGTCACTCACTACAGTGTGCAGTGAAGCAATGGCGCCATTCTTAGTTGATAGATGTGAGGAGACGACAGTCTCGGAAGAGTCTCATAAGTCATCTCCTGCTCCATTTCTCACCAAAACCTACCAACTTGTTGATGATCCTTCTACAGACCACATTGTTTCATGGGGAGAAGAAACCTCCACCTTTGTGGTGTGGAGACCTCCTGAATTTTCAAGAGATCTCCTCCCCAATTACTTCAAGCACAATAACTTCTCCAGCTTCGTAAGGCAACTCAACACCTATGTATGTATTCATTCCACTCGCCTTTTCGATCTCCTTCTGTAATCTTTTTGTTCTTTTTGAGTTTTGTTTAAGGAGAAGCTTGTTTCTCTGTTTTTAGCTCCCCGCTGAAATGTTTATGAGTTTCTGAACTAGTTTCTTTGAGAAACTTGATCCAAAGTTCGAATCTTTTTGTGTTTTTTTCTGAAGCTGCATCACTTCATGTTGTTCAAATCAAGGAAGAAAATGCTTGTTCTGAGTGATTTTTCTCTCCCATTCATTGCCTGAAATGAGAAAGTCCTTGTTTTTTCTGCGTTTTAAAGTGTGGCTTTTTTGTTTCTGCAGGGTTTCAGGAAAATAGTTGCAGATAGGTGGGAGTTTGCTAATGAGTTCTTCAGGAAAGGAGAGAAGCATTTACTTTCTGAGATTCACAGAAGAAAAACTCCTCAAATCCCTCAACCATATCACCCTCATCAACAATACATCAACTCACCAACAGCATTTCACTGTCAGGAAGAACTGATGTGCAGCTGGATCGAACCTCCACTGCCACCGCCAAATAATGATTCTGAAAGTTTCATTTCAGCACTTTCTGAGGACAATGAGAGACTGAGGAGGAACAACTCTTATCTTTTATCAGAACTCTCCCACATGAAGAAGCTCTACAATGAAATCATCTACTTTGTTCAGAATCATGTCAGCCAAAAGCCTTGCAGAATTGTAGAGATCGATCATTGTGCTCATCCCGCAACATCTGAATCAGAGCTGCATTTTTCTGAAAATTTTGGATCTGTTGAGGGCTCATTGAAACTGAATGAAGACTTTAACGGGGGAGTCAAGCTCTTTGGAGTTCCTCTTCATGGCAAAAAGAGATTACACTCTGAAACTGTTGGATGCAAAGATTAGTTCATTAGGAGCATAGTAGCAGTAATTAGTTAGAAGGAAAAAAAAAACTATGTATATAGAGTTCAGATTCAAACTAAAAATTTGCTCATGAAGATCATGTTAGAACTTGTTATCTGTGTTTCTTCTTCTCTTCCATTTAGTTTATGGCAGTCTTCTTCTTCATATGTTCATTTCTCTTGCTATTTTGGTAAAATTTTCTCATAGTATTATAATGAAAATCACTACAATATCATCGTAATATCATCAACTCTGTAAAATCTGCAGATATGTAATATTTCACTCTAAGTGTAGAGGTGAAATATGTTAAAAAGTTGGAGCAAAAATGAAAATAAAATAAAATAAAAAAACTCCACCAGTAAACAGTGCATTGGATTCTTCTAGTCTTTCATGAGCAACATGAGGAGCAATGAAATGATGAAATGAATAAGTTTGTAGATTTAAAATTCCATATTTCATTATTGAAGCATTGAAAGCCAACATAGTTGGATATAGGGCCCCTGACAGCTATGTAGGAGGATTCTCTTCCATGGCTTTTGAGGCATTCTTCTTTGGGAAAAGTAGCGGGAACTTCAAACTTTAAAGAAGAAAGGTGAAAGGCAGGGGCTGAAACATAATATTGGTTTTGTTTTTTAATATATTTGTTCTCTTCTGTCTTGTACTGCTTTGTATTTATTTGCTTTTAGATTCTGTACTGATCATTGGTTATATAATATAAATATTACATCAAGCCCCGGATTATATTACTATTTAAATGAACTGCTCTATTCAGAGAATTACATTTATGTACATATTAAAACATCTTTCACTTAGTGGGACCAATAAGTTTGCTACATTGTAATAGCCTGATTAGTCAATTGTTTCATGATTGGGAAATTTAGATACATGCCTCAAAACTTCTTTGTATTTATATATCTAATGCCTAAAACATAATATTTACATTTATAATATGTTGGTGTTATGAATGTATACATGAAAATGTGTAGTTCTGCGTAAATGTAAATATGAAAGTTTAAGTGCTTGTTAGATATGTAAATATGCAAAAATTGTGTAGTATGTATGTAAATGCCCGTTCATGATTTTAAATTTATCAGATAAAAAATTATGGAACAAGTTTATGCTGGCGCCCAGTTCACGATCCTGCCTTCCACTCCATGCGCCAATAACGAAAGCTCACACTCCCGCTCTTGTTCCCGAAAGGTCGCGACTGCGACCTGCAGTTTCCGCTCCCGCCTTTCTTTTGTGTGAAACGAAGCATCTCTTCGCTCCCTCCTATTCGCAATAAAAGACTTCGAATGGATCCTAGAAAAATAGGAGTCACAGTGTGAGTTCTTCTTCAGTTTCTTCGGGATAGAGGAAGGTTTCCTCGGGTTAGAGGAAGGAAGGTGCAAGACGTAGTTTCTTGCGGTGAAGGAAGAAGAAAGAATAAGAAGATTGTTCTCCCTTGGCTTCTTCTCGGTGACTTGTGGCATAAGAGAAATTGGTTTTTATTTCTCTTGTAAGTTTGTCTCCTTTGATGTATCTCGGTGTAGAGTTTCTTCGGTATATCTCAGTGTAGAAAGAGAAGAACAGAGAGAGAAGAAGAGAGAGCAATGAAGTGAGAGATTCCTCTTGTAAGTCGAGGTGATCGATTGGTGTAAATTCCTCAAGTAATGAAATCCTTTGCAATTCCGTGGATGTAGGCAATTTGCCGAACCACGTAAATCTGTGTTCTTTTCTGGTGTGATTTTTCTAGTTCTATTTTTCACTTCGTCGGTCGTTCTCCTATTTGCTTTATACCACATCAACTGGTGTGTATCTAGATCTCGCAACAACATTAAGAAATAAAAAATACATGATTTAATCAATTTAATCAATAACAAGTATGAAATGGTATATATCAAAATAAAATAATTTAAACTTTCAAAATGCGAATTAGGATGTAAATTCTGCCTGGGAAGGGAGACCAAACAGCCCCCGTAAAGGTATTTGCTGGCCGCACTTGATCTATGCCATGGAAAAGCTGGCTTTATCTTCTCCAGCTGTGCATTAGAATACATAAGAATGCCTTTTCTACTGTATTGCTTCTTCTGCTGCTAATGCGTTTTAAGATAAAAGTATTGGTGGTTTTTGACAGTTTCAGGTGTTTTTAAGATATATTTTCTGGCCGTTTTTCATTTTTAAAATATTTAAATTAGTATTGAATTCTTCAGCAAATATGTTTTTTATCTGTTTAAATACAGATTATTTATTCAAATTCTTTTGTCATATGTGTTTTAGAGGTTTTTTGTCGTTTTGATTGTCTTAGCTTGGGTTTAATTACTTGTACCAATTTTGATTGTTTCCACCGTTTTGAGGAGGACTTTTCAAAAAGAAAAAGAATTACATAAATACCATATTTGTAAGTATTTACATATCTAATGCTTAAACCATTTTATTTATATTTATAGCGCTTTGGTGTTATAACTTAAACATCAAAGAATGCATTTCAGTCTTAAAAAAGTTAGGAGTGATGTTGATGATTTAAGGGATATGTTTGTAAATGTGAAAGTATAGGTGTTAAATATGTCAATACATAAAAAAATGTGGAGAAGTTTTGAATAGATCAAGTAAAAGCTTTCTGAATTGCTGAAACTGACATTTTCTGAAAAAAAAAAACAGAAATTATGATTGGTTCCAACACTCTAATTTGCAGATACAAATGATGTGTAAGTAATAATTTTTTTAATCTTATTATTTTGTTAAATTTTTAATGAAAAAATAATATCCTTGTAATAATAACAGAGCTCAATCTGATCTTCATAAAAAATAACATTAATATCCTTTGAAATTAGTAAAATGGGAATTAAATATATTCTGATTTTATTATTTTGTGCATAAAATAATTAATTGGAGAGGTTTTTGATAATAAGAGAAGACTTTTCTTGAGCCAAAATTGATTTTTTCGTCCTCCTAACATAAAAATCATTTGGGTGCTTAATTTATAAATGTCAATGTTTCAGTTGGTTTGTATGTAATTATCCCTTTTTCTTTTTGTGTTTTGTCTTATTTATTTCACTCTCTTGAACATTAATTTTTTTGAAAATTTACATGCCTCGCACACAATTCTTATGCATTTTCAGATACATAGCACTAATTTAGTGTTTTAAACCGAGAGGATCCAAATCAGCTTGGTGTGTCGTGCCCAAGAAATGAAGTGTTGGGCTGAGGGAATGAGATTGAGAGAGGGAGAGAGAAGGAAGAGAGAGGAAGACTTCCCTTGGCGAGGTGGCCGAGCGAGAGAGCTTGGTCAATTGATTACTAGATTGTCTCAAGCCACGTAGATCATTTTTTAGTATACATATTAAGTTCCCAATGAATGAGATTGAGAGAGGGAGAGAGAAGGAAGAGAGAGGAAGACTTCCCTTGGCGAGGTGGCCGAGCGAGAGAGCTCGGTCAATTGATTACTAGATTGTCTCAAACCACGTAGACCATTTTTTAGTATGCATATTAAGTTCCCAAATTTTTTTTACTTATTGATAGTGACAATTATAATAAGAACAAGGAAATTTATAAATCAAACAAGTCTTGAAAACATAACTAGCTAATGATACTCCTTATTAGGCGTGTTTCCAGCTTGGTTTTGGTATCTTTTATAAACCGAGATAAATATAATAAGAACAAGGAAATTTATAAATCAAACAAGCCTTGAAAACATAACTTGCTAATGATACTCCTTATTAGGCGCGTTTCCAGCTTGGTTTTGGTATCTTTTATATACCGATATAAGGAAAATGAAAAGATTTGGAATCAGGTTGGATGGTTGAGAAGAGTCTCAACGGTTTTAGTTTTGCGGTTGAGATTGAGAGTTGTAAAGTGTAATGGTGTGTTGAGCTGCAGGCTCATCTTTATCATCCCTCTGCAAGCTGATGGCAGCTTCACATATAGTAAAAGTGTATTGGAGCTTATGAAATATTGGCGTTTGTAATGCTTTGGTGAATATGTCAACAAATTGGTCTTCAATTGGAATGCATGCAAGAGAGATTTACTTGGAGAGAATATATTCGTGAAGGAAGTGGCCATCACCCTATATCTATTTGTAAGAATTGTTCTGTAAGGTAAGGAGATCTTTCTCTAGAGGAAGACCGAGTGTGAGAGTGACTTTGATGTATCAAAGTAGCCGCTTGAGCAATTGGTAATGAATCCAGAGTAGATTGTGGAGATGCTGAGAAAAAAGTATTGACAGAAAACTAAATGTCCAGTATTGTTGTTGTGAGATATTGTAGTGATCCAACGAGCTGATTTTGTGCTCTTATCATTTGATTTTAACACAAGCTGAAAATGAAGACAAAGTCACTCTTTCGAGTCATTTCGAACACGAGCCAATTTCAATATATATAAACGACCCGAACACGAACACATGTTCAACTAGCTCAAGCTCGGCTTATTTATATCCCGGCTTACAACCAAACATATCACAATTGACCAAGCTATAAACTAAAATCTTCAAATTATCCAAAGTTACAATGAATAAGAAACAAACAGCAGATTCAACTACAATAAAAAATTCATGTGATCACGGATGCTCTGCTGCAACACGAGAATCGTAATATGTAGTGAGAACTTCACCGTAATCCCCTTTAGAGTCGTCATCTTCCAAGTAATCGGATCTAGCATTGAGAGTTAGCATGTGGCATACGAGCCAGAACAGAGCGGCATCGAGGGCCAAGAAAGCAGCGCCGCCGAAGAGTCCGGTCTTAGCGGTCGGGCACTCATAGTCCGCGGTATAATGCCGGTTTCTGGTTCGATGAAGTCCTTCAGTGATCGTCACCCACATCATCATGGCTCCGGCGAACAGTGTTACCAGCCTGGTCTCACCAAATCAACACATTGTAACATCAGTAGTGCTTAGTAGTAACATGAGCTTGTTTCCATTGAAGTTTAAGAAATTGTTCTAAAAAAGCAACAATTATAATGCAAGTATTTTACGGATATTTACATAAACATATACTTAGATTTAGTGGGTATGTATGTATGTAAATTGAAAATATATCATCATTTTAATTTTTAAAAAATAAAATGCATCTTTTCATGCATAAATAAGCTTATAAAAATTGAAATTTTAGTGTTTGAAATGTAAATACATAAGAATAGAGTGGCATGCAAGTAAATAACTATCAACAAAATGGCAAAGCAAGTTTTAAAATAAATAAAAAATGAATTGAGAAAGCAATAAATAGTTAAATACGTACGTTGCGACGAGGAAAAATACACGCATAGTCATGCTATGGAAAAGTGCACTTTTGGGTACGGACTGGCCTTTATAAGGGAAGAACACAGCAAGCAGGCCTAGAGCAGCACTTATCAAAAGAGCTAACACAGATAAGCCTCCCAAAGCAACGGTTGGATCTTTTGGAAATTTGCACAGAATATAATCTTTCATAGGAACTGGAGTCCCCTGAGCAGGCTGTCGTAAATAAAAAAATAATTAAGAGGTATAAACGTCAAAGAAGTAAAATAATAGTAATAGGTTTAAAAAAAGATTTACATACATACCAATACTTAAAGTTAAGTTTTATGTATGAAAATATACATTTCATTTTTTTTTAAAATAAAAAATGGGTGGTATTTTTGAAGTGATATGAAAGACTTGGGTGGTACAAATGTAAGAAATAAAAATTAGGTGCTAGATATGTAAATACATAAGGATTGAGTGGTATGTATGTGAATGCTTCCATTAATCAAACCAAGGTTTTAGTTTTCTCGGATGTGTTCTTGAAAGAAGAATCATGCAGTCTTCAATTGGAAGTGTTGATTAGTAATGGGAATGATTATAATTCAGATTAATATGTTATTATAAAAATTCCGAAAACAGTGTTAGGCTTCATACAAACTGAAATTATGCAATATGGAAATTTACATACATACCACGCATTTCTCATGCATTTACATATCTAACAGCTAAAATTTGATATAAAACCTTGGTATGGTGATAGTGATATTTTGGATGTGATGTTAAAGGCTTGGTGTTATGTATGTACATATGAAAGTTTAGACGTTAGATATGTAAATATATAAGAATTGTGTGGTATGTATGTAAATGCCCCTATATATTAATATAAAAATACAATAACATTGGCCCGATACTAAAAAAAAATTAAAAATAATAAAAAAGTAAGTAAACGGAAATTTCTTTTGGGGATGGATGAGATTTGAATATGAGATCTTTTCAACGTACAAGGAAATGGTCAACTATCAGTCTACATCTAATTATTTATAATATAGAGAGAAAACAAACTCACAAATAATCATGCATACGGAAACAAATAAATGGATCTAACGGCGAAGATAGCGTCTCAACAATGAGAAAATATTACGTTCAGAGTACGTACTATGTAGATTTTAATAATACAGCGCCATTTGTAAAGTAACGGGATCGGTTTTTTGAGAATTAAAAATAATGAAAAATACTATTTTTTCATGTGACCCAGCTCGAAGACCACTCGATGGTATTCTAATGATATTATAATAGTATTCTGGTTGTATTAATATGGTATTTTGGTGATTTTTTGTGATATTTTTGTAGTATTATGGTGATAGTATGGTGGTATTCTAGTGGCATTATGGTCGTATTTTGATGGTGGCCTGAAAATCATGCATTGGTATTCTGATGATAATATGGTGGTATTCCGATAATATTTTGGTGATACTATGATGATATTCTTATAGTATTTTGGTGATATAATAGTATTATAGTGATATTATGATAATATTCTGAAGATATTCTGGTGGTATTCTTCTGATATTATGATGGTATTTTGGCAGAATGCATGTGGTATTCTGGTAATATTATTATGACATTTTGGTGTTATTCGTATAATATTTTAGAGATATTTCGGTGGTATTTTGCCTAGAATACTACTAGAATATCATCATCATATCACAAGAATATCACAAAAATATCACCCAAATATCAAATATCACCTAAATATCCTAGAATACAATCAAAATGCCACCAAAATATCACCAAAATATCAACCGAATATCACAATAATATCACTCCTAGAATACAATCAAAATGCCACCAAAATATCACCTGAATATCACAATAATATCACAATAATATCACTAAAATACCATTAGAATATCAGCAGAATAACACCTAAAAATAATTAGAATACCACTAGAATAAATCAAATCATCATAATACTACCGAGCGGTCTTCAGGCCGGGTAGTTTTTGCCATAAATTTTTAATTCACAAAAATCCTATCTCATCACCTTAAAAATAACGCTATTTCATTGAAGTCCGCGTACTCTAACCGTAGTATTTTCTCTAGAAGACAGATGATTATATACTATTTATATGTATGGAGCCCACTTGGTCTACCACATGCACTTGAATATATGCATGGCATGCCTGCAAAGAAGTTTTATTTTATATATATGCAACGAACACGTAATAATTTTTTGTGGAGGATATATATATATATATATATATATATATATATTACAAATCAAGCTATAAACAGAAAGAAAATTTCCTTGTTACCAAATGATAGGAAGAGTTCTCAATTTCGAAATGGAGTCACGCCCATGATTTGGAAGACTTTGTAATTCTTTGAATTTCAAAAATTGGCTGGGAATGAAGAGGGGGTCTTTTCAAAATTTGAGGAGAAGCTTTATTTTTAATTATATTTCTATTTATAGCATCAAAATCTATTTCTAGATAATAGGGGAAAGATAGAAAATTTTCAATGGAGTGGTCAATTTGTAAATATCAATGCTACGGGTGGCTTGTATGTAATTATCCCAAAATATATAAAGATTATTGATATATAGTTTTTCACAAATACAAACTCTAAGTTAAAAATAATACTTTTTTTAGTCCAATACAATTTTAATATTGCAAATGACTCTAAAAGGTTAGTAGCCAAAAGGCAATAGTATTCATGTACTAATGTTTTTAAGATACCAATTAAATAATTGTTGATAAAAATTTCACCTTTTTGTTTTCAGCAACGACACCAAGTAGGAAGGCCAGTGCGCCAAAAAAAGCTACCCCAAGAGCAATGTTTCTGCTTTGATTTGATGCCATGGCTTAAAAACAGTCTGCAACATTAATGCATATGAAAAAAAATCAGAAATTTAATGAATATAAATGGTTTTTTATCGAACAATATCAAAAAAGAAATTTATAGTCATTTCCCCCCCATGAAATTTCATTATTTACATAAATAATAAATCAAAATAAATGATATTTCTAGTCATTTTGAAAACAAAATAACAAATTTAAACATGTTTACATGAAATATAAGATATCATTAACATGAAAAAAAACCTAATTCATCATCTTTTCACAAACAGGCCACTGATTTCAAAAATCATATTTTAAACCTAACACAATTTTTTTTTTTTTTTTTTTGTGCCAAACAATTACTAATTTACAAAACTAACTCCCTCCTGCCTCCAGTTTTACAAATACAAGAAGCGGAGAAAAACTCACCTGCTATCAACAGGCAGCAGAATGGGAGAGAACCGAAGGCAGCAGACCTTAGCCTATAAGAACTGCTACTAATTGGTTTCTACATCGAGATTAGAATGCAGAATGTTTATATAGCGAGCAAGGTCTGCTTTTCGGCTTCCTTCACAGAAACTTTATGGTGGAAAATTATTTCTATTAGTTTGACTTGTTAAATTATGATTGCTATAACAAAAATTATTATTTAATTTATTTTTAAAATAGAAAATCATTTCCTTACAGATTAAATATTTATGAATAAAAATAATTTTTTAAAAAAGGATGATTGTGATATTTTGAAAATTTTGGGTCACATAAATGTAAAAAATAAAGTTGAGATGCTGGATTATGTACATGTCAAATGAATGTGACATGAAAGTCGGCAAAGTTTATCTGATAAATTTAAAAATTAATGATTCAATCTATGATATTATCTTTTTGTTATAATAGAAATGAGGATTATCTTAAATTAATTTAAGAGATGTAATAATTAAAATTACAAGGCTTAATATTAAAATTGACTTTAATTTAAAAGTTCAAGTGCCGTTTGAAATAATAAAATATTCAATGAATTATTTAATAATTATAATAATTAAATTTATATAAATTAATGAGTCATATTTATTTTAAAAATAAATGTTTTTAATTTGGGGAATTTACATACATAACATATCACTATTTCACTTTGATTTTTGTCATGATTCTTCATTTCAGCATTGACTATGCCTATTGGGGCAAAACATTATTAAGTTGAATGTAATGAAATGGCCTATCTTTGAGTAGGTATCATCTTCCATGTCCGCTTGAGAGCTGGTGCATGGCAAGCTAAGTGGATGTTAATTTAAAGATTATTACTTTCAGTTTGATGGTTTTGAGGATTAACAAAATGTTCTCTTAAAACTCTTTTCCATGAATGATAATGTAATAAGTATTTATTTATGTCACGGCTATCTTAAAGCAATCAAGACACATATTGCTCTGATGAAGGTAAGACATACATGTTTTCATGATTGTATTTCACTGTCTCGATGAAGGTAAATTCAAATTCACAATGTCATATGGTGATGAAATAGTTGAGTATTGTTGTTTAAGTTCTGATAGTACTAGAAGATGCACATATGATTGATAAATATATCAATTGGCAATTAACAAGCAAAATGCCTAATGATATAACTTTAGAGGTTGGCTCTCAGTTTAAAAGTTCGATGAGTTTGAGACAATTTATTCAGATGCCGACCATTTCTAAGAATTTTGGGATGATTTTTAAGGCTAATGATAGAGAAAGAGTTATCACAATATCTTCTTATAATGGTTATCCATGTATAATGAGAGTTTCAGTTTGTGCCGATGGACAAACATTTAAAATATGAACACATTTGTGCCCACGTGTGAACAATGCTGGTAACAAACAAGCAATATCCATCTCAATAAAATAGAAGTTATAGTAAAAACTTATCCAAATATTCCTCCAAAATAAATCAATTTTGTTTTAGAAAATAATAAAATTTTCTATCTGTTTTTTAAAAATTCATGTGGCGCGAAGCTATTTTTTATCCTGATATGTTAAAATGTAGTTTTAGAAAAGATATATATTTGTAGACAAGCTATATATATTTATAATTCTTATCAAAGCTTTCTAGAAAATTGTTATCACTTTTTCAAAAAATTACAGCCACCCAAAGCTAAGGAGTTTATAAAAATATAATATCTAAAATTTAATATTAAAAATAAATAAATAGCTAGGTCAATTTTTCAATGAGAACATTCTATTGAAAATTTGCATCCACATAAATATCTAATATCTAAAATTTAATTTTAAAGTTATGAAGGAAAATATATTAAAAAATAATTGTGATATTTTTTTATGTGATGTGAAAATATAAAACATAAAATTCAGGTGCTAGAAGTCTAAATACATAAGAATTGTGTGGTATGTATATAATTGTCACATAAACCAAGACAAGGTCATATAATAAATTTAAAAAGTAATGACTTTATCTATGATAATAACTTTTTTATCATAATAAAAAAGAGGATAATCTTTAATTTATGAGATATAATAATTAAACTTACATGACTTAATATTAAAATTGAATTTAATTTAAACGTTCAATAGAATAATAAAATATTCAATGAATTGCCCAATAATTAATAAAAATTAAATTTAGATAATTGATAAAATCATACACACACACACACACGCACACACACACGCTAAAAATAGAATATTTAGTGTATATATTGGGCTTAGGACCGGTCCTCTCACTGGTTGATACTTTACTTTGATTTTTGATGGTGTTTTAAATTTGAATTTTGCCTCGATTCTTCCTTTCACTGTTTAGGGTTAACCATTGTTAAGTTGAATGCAATGAAATTACTTATCTTAGAGTAGGAATCATCCTCCATGTCCAATTGGTCCAATTGAGAGCTGGTTTATGGGAAGCTAAGTAAAGTAGATGTTAAGTTATAGATTATGATTTTTAGTTTGATGGTTTTAAGGATTAATAAACTGTTCTCTCAAACTCTTTTTTGATGAATGATAATGTAATTAGTTTTTATTTGTCATCGTTATCCTAAACTACTAAGACCCATGTTGCTCCAATGAACATTAGACAATTTTTTTCATGATTGTATCTTTTTATCTCCATGTAGGTAATTTGAAACTCACAATGTCACATGGTGATGAAATAGTTGAGTATTATCATTCAAGCTCTGATAGTACTGGCATATGCACATATGAGTTTGATGAATAAATCGATGAGCAATTAAAGAGCAAAATGTTCAATGATATATCTTTAAAGGTTGGCTCTCCTTTAGAAGATTCGATAAGTTAGAGATAATTTATTTGAACACTAGTCATTTCTGAGAATCTTGGGATAAATTCTAAGGCTAGTAATAGAAAAAGAGTTATCTGACCTATCACACGATGACTACTGTACATAAGCTCTCCATGTTTCTTTTTAAAATTTATTTGTCTATTTTCGTTGTATATCCCATCTTTTCTGATTCATTTCATCTTCGAATAATTTATATGATTCAAGATGAAGATTTATTTGGAAAGAGAAATTATACGACAATGACATATAAATAGACAAGCTGGTGTTTCTGAGTTTAAAAAACAAAAAAGAAAAAACATGCCCTTTCATTTTAGATGTGTTATACTTGCTACTTTTATTAGATTTTAAGCTAATTGTAGGTTTATCATTAATATTCTTTAAATTTTGTTAATATAATTGCAACAAATATTTTTTCTTATCCATAGTGAGTTGCATAAATAAGTAGTCTTATTTTATTGCTACATAGACTCTTACTTAATCACTTGTGTCTCTTATTTTCAATATTTATTATTCTTATAATTTATGTGTTAAACTTCTTTATTGCAATTTTATAATTATTTATAAACACTTGTGGGCATATTACAGGTATATTCATGTATTTTTATTATAATGAATGAAATATATATGATATTATAATATTATTATGCCAGTATTAAATCATTTTTTATGTTTAGCCGGACCGAAGGATTCTCAGAATAATAAATAGATTTTCATGGAATTGGTGTATATTTTTCCTTGTTTCAGGATGTCATTGAAAATAGACTATATATATATATATATATATATATATAACTACTTAT